GTTTGGAATATGAGTCAGAGACTCGACACTTTGTGTCTTCGAATGCAGTCGTGGTACTACTTACCCTGTCCTTCGCCTTTGATTGTATTGATTAATTTTGCTATAACTTTTGCTGGTCCACCGGGAAGTTCATAAGGAGAAGCTAAAAGCTCTTCTAGAGTTAGCTCAAGGAAGGCTGGGCCGGAAACGTGGTTATCCCTAAGTATTTGAATGTGAACATCATCAAGATCTAACTCCACTTGATTTTTCTTTAAGAAATTAATAACGTTGGGTCGCTTCCATTCCTCCTGAACCTCTTCTACTGACGGAAGGGAAATATTTTTAAACATGATTATTTGTTGAACAAAAGTAACAGAAATAGTCGTACATTCACCCTTTTATAGTTTATACAAACAATCAGATTGTCGTACAACAGATCACGTATTGTTACACAATACAGATATTGTATTTTTCCCAACATAAAGAATTTTAATAATAGATCACGGTCACTGCATGCAGAATTTTTATTGTCATTCAAATTAAAAAACTATTTATTCCTGAAGAGCAGGGCTTAAACGATCATAGTAATATACCGGTCATTTACTGCGCCAACGCTTATTGTTTAAAGTATCTTTTTTGATTCATAAAAATTAGTACGATATCATAAGCTAACAATAGCAATAAATAGCAAATAGAAAATTTTAATTTTATTACTGTAACTTAAGTTATATCTTATTATTTTACAGAACGATTTTTGTTATGTATGTTAGTATAATTATGCATTGAATTGTTATTTTGGCCAATTAAATTCTAATATAATATGGATCAAGAACAGAACTTATGCATGACCGGCAAATTACTATGGTCGTTTAAGCCCTGCTGAAGAGGCGTGACATCGATGTCACAATAAGGTTCTACAGAACTATCATTACAGCATTGATCGTCACGTAAGTTCGTGACGGAAATTTATTATTATTTTTATTTAATTATTCGAGAATAAAATAGATGAGTTAGGAACTTGAAGCTATTATGAAATAGTGAAGCTTTCACTTATCGCTTCTTTCCTTAAAAAATTTTCACATTCACACCGCTTATATATTCCATTCGCTACTTTTTTGCATGTTTTGCAATATAGGTGTGAATGGTGATTGCATTC